TAAAAATATAAAATAATATATATAAATACAAATAATATATATACGAATATCATAAACAAGCAAAAACATATATAAATATACAATATGAATACAAATACAGAAAAATATACATAATACATATTACAATAAAAGATATATATACAATATACATACACACACAACACACACACACACAACACACACACACACAACACACAAACACACCACACAACACACCACCCCAAAAAACCCCCCCCCCCCCCACCCAACCCCCCAACCACACAAAAAACAAAACACATATTTAGATAAATAGTTATAATATAAATAATTAAAATAAAAGTAATAATAAACACACACACCACTACTACACACAAAACACCACACACACACACCACCAACCACCCACAACAACCAAACAAAAACAATTAAATAATAAATAATTATAAAATATAACAATAATAAAAATATTAATAATAAATTATAATAATATATATAATTAACATAACAATACATCATAACTATTATATACATATATAACATAATATAACATACAATACATACATAAACAATACATACAATACAAACAACACTACAATCACATAATATATATAGTAAATATATATTATATATATATATTGTATGCTATTATTATATATATACAAATAAATATATAATAATATAAATATAATTACATAAAATACAGATATATATTATATCTTACGATATACTATTATGGTATATATAATAAATATCATATTATATATATGTTTTAATTGTATGATGTATGTATGTATGTATGTATAGTAATGTAAAAATGTAATGTATGTATGTAAATGTATGTATGTATGTATGTACATATATTGTATGTATGTGATGTAGGTAACTGATAATATTATGTAAAGATAACTATATATAATATATAAATATATATATATATGATCAATATCAACTTGGTATATGTATAAAATGTTATATGATTTAATTAATTGTTATTTTTAATTAAATGCATATAATGTATTAGTAGAACAAATATATATTATAATGACAAAAATATATATATAAAGTTTAATAATAATATATATGTAATAAATATATTAATGTTTATATATTAAGTAATATAAATAATGATATATAATAAATAATAATATATATATAAAATATATATTAAAAATAAAAAAAATATATAAAACATATATGAAAAGTAAAAATAACAAAATTAATAAAAATAAATAATAATATGAATATTTAAATAAATGATATATATATTAAAATAAATAAAATAATAAAGTATAAATAATAAATATATAATGAAATAATAAATAATTATATAAAATATAAAATATAAAATGCAATAATAATATAATAATATATAATATGTATATGATATATAAATAAAATTATATTATAATATTATAAATATACATATATACTATATATGACATATATATAAATACTCTTTACATATACTATATAATTAATATAAGTAGTTATATATATGTAATGTGGATCACATCATTATGTGTGTGTGTGTACTATTAATATGTATAAAATATATAATATATACGTATAATACTAATATTATAAAATATACATATATTATACATATTTAAACTATATACGTATAAAAATATTAACAATAATAATATACAACCAATATTATATATATATATAATACTAACAATAAACAAAATATATATAATAAACAAATAAATAAAAAACATATCACCACAACCTCATCACCCTCAAACCACCCCCTATCACTACTCTCCCCCTACTCCCCCCCCTCACCCCTACCCTAACACCCTACCTCACTGATATATTCTATAACATAAATTGAATAATATATATATATATAAACAATTTAATGTAAATAATATAATAAACCCAATATAATTATATAATATATATTACACATAATATATTAATACACTAATAAATAATATATGAAAATAAAAAAAATAAATAATAGAAATAAGTAATATATTATTAAATACAACTTATATAAAATGGAATAAAAATAATGGATTATATACTATATAAAAAAATAATACACTATGAATTAAAATATAATAAATATAATAACAAAAACACACACAACAAACAATAAAATAAAAAAATATAATATAATATAATAAATAAATATAATAAAATAATATAAATAATAAATAAATATATATAAAATATAATAAAAATATAAATAATAATAAAAAAATAACATATATAAATAAATAAAATTACATATACCACATCACAAATATATAATACTTATACAACTAATACACACACACACACACAAATAATATATAATAATACATAAAAATATAAAAATATATAAAAATAAATAAAAATACTAATAATAAAAATACAAAACGTATAAATAAAACAATTAAATTAAAGTATAATATACTAAATAAAAAAAAATATAATAAATGATGTGTAACCATGCAATGTCTTGATAATAAATGAATATGAAAAAAATACAAATAAATAATAATTATGTGATATAATGTGTGAAAAAATATAAAGAAATAAATATATATAATAAATAATATTATATAATAATAAATTAAATAATAAATAATTATATAATATAATAAATAATAAAATAATAAATATAATACATATAAATATATCAAATATATATCAACCTATAAATATAATCAAGATAAATATATCATAAATAAATCTATTAATATATTTTATATTTAAATATATATATCCAAAAAATTAATATTATAAAATATAATAAAATATAAAAAATAAAATAAAAATATCATATAATTAAATAAATAAAATATAATAATATAATAATACAAAATAAAAAAAAAAAAATAAATAATATACATTATATAATAAGATATATAACAATAAATATATAAAATACATTATATATTTACATGAAAATAAAAAAATAGAATATTTCAAATACATAAAATAACAAAAAATAAAACTATACCATATAATAATATAATAAATAATATATAATAATAAATATATTTAATAAAATAATAACAAATATATAATAATATTATAATATATATATAATAATTAATATAATATTTTCATAAATACATCATAAATAATAATATATAAAAATAATACATAATATAGATAAAAATAAATAATTATAATATATAATATATAAAATAAATAATAATAAAATATAAAATAAAATAATAATATATAAAATATTAATTAATATAATATATAATAAATAATAAAAAACAAATATAATATAATAATACAAATAATATAAAGAAATAATAATATAATAATCAAATATAAATAAAAAATAAAATAATATATAAATATAATATAATTAATAAAATATAATATAACATATAAAATATAATATAAAAATACTATATATAAAAAAAAAAATAAAATATATATATAATATCATAATATTTGAAATAAAAAATATATATATAATATACTATAAAGAAAAATATATATACAATAATATAATATATATACATATAATATATAAGATATATATGATAATATTATAATAATATAATATATATAATTATTAATAATATATAAAAATATATAATAATATTATATATAATATAATAATATATATATAAATATGATAATATAATAAATATATATATAATATATATATATATATTATATATTATATATATATATATATAATTATTACATATATATATATATAATATATATATATATATATATATATATATATATAGAAGAGAGAGAGAAGAGAGAGAGAGAGAGAGAGAGAGAGAGAGAAGAGAGAGAGAGAGAGAGAGAGAGAGAGAGAGAGAGAGAGAGAGAGAGAGAGAGAGAGAGAGAGAGAGAAATAAATAAATAAAATATATATATTATATATACATACATTTTATTATCTATCTATCTATATATGTGTGTGTACATTTTAAAAAATAATATTAAAAAATAGGGGCAAAAAGAAACCGTGAAGAAAAAAAGAAAAGAAAAAAAAGAAAAAAAAAAAAGAAAAAGAAAAAAAGAAGAAGAAAAAAAAAGCATTCTCATCAACAAGATACATAATACTGTTCCACATCAAAATGGCTACCAGGTTAATAAGAACTTCCAACAACATAGACAACACAATGACTCACGGAGGGAGCTTGGCAAGACGGGCCTGTGACTGGGGTAGTGTAGTGTAGGAGCCCTGGTCGCTGTTGTATTGTGGGGGAACCATGGGACCTGATATGAACCTGAGGCCATCTGTCTCCTCTTCAGAATCAGTATCTTCTGATTCAGCACCAAGATCTGAAAGGTTATAAAATACCTTAGCAACTCTTTCGTTTTATTTTCTGTAAACATGATGAATAATGCAGTGAAACATACAGCATGGTATTTGGTGCTTGCTATTACAACACAAGACAAAAGAGAAAAAAAAGTTAAATGTTACTCAAATCTTATCTCATGCCAACTTATTTCCCATCTAAGAACTTCAACATGATTAATTCAAGAGCGGAAATTCGACACAAATAATAAGTCTAATAAACTAATATCGACTCAACAAACACTCCTACTCGAGACAGAACAGACTAAGTGAAAGGTGATTACAGGTAATTTCTAAAAAAGATGCATACAAAGAACATTAGAACTTACTGTCCATTTTTCCATACATGGCAGTAGATGTAGGTGGCGGCATCTTTGAATTAATGCCATAATAGAGCATTGCCATACGAGTTGCAATGGCAGTGTACGCAGTCTGTGGAGGCACTCTTGGCATCAAGGGTATGAGACGTCTACCTTCAACAGCCCATTCTACTCCTGTGTTAGGCCCTGCCAGTCTGCAATGAAAAAAACAAAACAAAAAAGCTAATTGACATCCATAAATATTATACATCAACAAGTAAGATGCTGGTCTTTTTGTTTCACTCTTGTGTCCAACATATCTTCGAAGTGACAAGTCTGCTCAACCATTCTGTCACAAGATCATATCAACCACATTCTTCATTACTAGAACAACATCAACGATAGGCCTATGCATCATGTTTTGTGAGTAGATAGTTACTTACGTATCGGCTATAGTGTTTAGCTTCTCATCGTTGACTGCCCTTCTTATTTCAGCACGATGTCGTTCCAGCGTGATTGAAAATATTGTCTGTAAATCATTTAACAGTTTTCTCTTCTCCTTAGTAAGCTCTCCCTGTGCTCTTAACACTGATACTACCTGGCTGTATGCAGACAGCTCTGGAAAGGAAGAAAGAACAATAATAATAATAAAAAGATATATACATACACATAAAAAGGATTATGTAGAAGGTACAAATTTATAACTGATGAAACACACTGGATGGCTTGCCACCTATCTTGTATCTCAATTCATGACTTGTAATTAAACACAGATAAAAATGGTGAACTTACCTAATGCCCGTAAAGATTTTTTACATTCTTCTTTGGTCATATCAAGCAGCAGAGGCCATCTGCTTGATACATTGTTACCTATATCCATCTGGAAATTTAAAGATTATTAACAATTTCTATCATTACGTATCAGTGAAGGGAAACTTTAAAACAATATAATATAGGCAAACAGTCCCAGGATAACATCCCACTTGTAACTGCTGTAAAACATGAAAACATTCTCACATCGTTTTCCTTGTACAATCCAATAATGAAAATGGCTCAGTTTCCTTAACTAATTTTGGTAACAGTATGATTGTGCACATAGTGCAATATTCTAGAGTTATGGAAATAACAGTTTTAGCAGACCTTTGGACCCACAGCTCTCATCTGGGAGTGTAAGATATACCTACATCTATGTTTGCCAATTTTGAGGAATAAATAAATTGTAAATAAGCTTTTACCTCTCTCACAACTTATTTTTTCCTCTCCTTTTTGTCTAGGCGACTGGCATGCTGAAAGGTCAAGACACTTACAGAGAATAAAAATGAATCTTTCTCTCTAGGTAAAACAAGTGTCATTGTTACCAAAAAACAGGTGGCAAAGATGTCTTTATCTTTAGTCTTCGTCTATCAACATTCAAGAGCCTTGATTTTCCAAAACAAAATACTACTGATAATGCTGGGTGATCTTTGTACAATAACAGAAACTTATCATAAACAGAGACCAGTACTTACAAATAATAATGAGAGTTCAAGATAAAAGAATCTTGTTGCCACTTCTGATAAAATCTGAGGTTTGAAAATGTTTAGTTAACAAAAAAATACAATAAAATTAAATTAAATTAAAAAATAATAACAAAAATACTAATAACAATAATTTGCAATAATAATAATAATAATAATAATAATAATAATAATAATAATAATAATAATAATAATAACAACAACAATAACAACAATAACAATAATAACAATAACAACAACAATAACAATAAGGTTAATAATCAAAAATAATAATAATAATAATAACAACAACAGCAACAATACTACTACTACTACTACTACTAATAATAATAATAATAATAATAATAACAATAATGATATTAATGATGATAATGATAGTAATAATGATAATATCAATGCTAGTAATAATAATAATAGAATAATAATAATGATAATAACAATGATAATAATACCAATAATAATAATATCAATAACATATATTGGTAAATCTTTACGGTATGGATGCACTAAGCTAGGGTAAACTGAAGGTGATCTTCTAGTACAGAACAAAAAGTTGTAGTTAATGGTACAAGATACAGTATAAATTACTGAGAGCGACGCAGAGAGACAGGGGAAATGGACACCATCATATTACAGAGCATAAGAAACTGAGTAAGAAAAACATAGTTTCAGCTGCAGCAGCCTCATATTTACCATCTAATAACAAAAATGTCCACTGCTTAGCATCGCACAGACACTAAGGCCACAACACCCTCACCTAGCCAGAGTTATTAATGCCCGTTATCTATAAGTTGGCATAAAGTGTTAATAAACAGGGGGCGCATGGGGGGAAACGTTAGGTTGGGTTTTTGAGTTCGAATGATACCCTGCTTTTGGGATTAAGTCTCTGGGAGGGTACATCGCTTTCAGTAACAACTACCCAAGATACAATCTGCAGTTATAAACAGTCACTTCACAAATAAAAGAAAAAGATCACGAAAAAGTGCCGCTCACAGCCTAAGTCCACACAGTGCCATGGCAAAGGCAACTGACTTTCACAGCCTGTGTTCTGGTATGGTATACCCACAAGGGATCTATACATCATAAACATAATCATTTTGACAACAAGTATGTCATATTGTTAATTGTTTTCATCTCTTCTATAAATCACACAATATCATTATTAACAAGTTGCACAAACTACTTCATAGAAAAGAATCAACTTACACTTCCTCTTATGAGCAATAAATATTAATTCTGAGAATTTCAGAAAGTTGACCCCATCACTAAAATATGATAAAATTTTGGGAACTAATTGGAATTGTTATGTATTTAAAGGGCTGTGGGAAATACATAGGTCTATAGCAAATTATATGCAAACTTGGCATTGCATTCATATGAAATGCCAAAGATGTATCAATCCATTGACAAGAGGAAATATGGGCTACATGATCTGCTCAATACAATTAGTTTATTACTGTTTAGAGAGTGTGTTTCATCACAAAGGAGGCAATTGCTAACACCACTAATCTCACAAGTATTCATCCTGTTCCTTGAATTTTAGATTTTTTCTATCATTACTGTCAGCTTTGTTAATTGTATTATAGTAATATCAATAAACAATAATGGTATCAGTAATGAAAAAAATAATAGTAACATCAATAATATTAATTACGTAAGGATTTATTTCTCTAAAATTGCCAACCAAGTACTTGGATAAATAAATGACAAACAAAGAAAAACAAAAGTGTCAATGGGTTAAAGGCCATAAGAGTATCATTCTCGGTCTTTTCCACACAATGGTGACAAAGAAGAGGAATGGCATATCTTTTACCTTAATAGATTAATGCAGTATTGTACTAGAGACTCAAAAAAGACCTCCAAACTAGAGATTTTTTACTAGGTCTCCCCTTTTAATTAGTACATTACCTTCTATACAATTCTTACTATAATTGTAATGCTTAGTGTACTTTATGTAATCATAACAGTGAAAACAAACATTCCAAGACTAATCCTTTTATCTAAATATAAATAAAGACCAAAAATACTAGACTGGCAAAGATTTTCTTGAAAAGCATAAACAATACTCTCTTACATAATGAACCTTCATCACCACATTTATGAACCGTAAACACAAATGTCTTTAGCAGATGCATATTGTTATGCTAATAACAAAAAATCAGAGAAATTAGTAAAACATGAAGGAAGGGGATAGTTGGTTATAAAGTTATGGTGCATCCAGTGCATTCTAACTCAAACAGAAGTCTAAAGGCAAGTTATGGCTGGGAAATGTGTAAGTTTTTCCAAAAAATATATGCTTTAGAGGGTAGAATCAGGAGAAGTTTAGTGAAATTTGGAATATAATGAAATGCAGTACAAGTCTTCAGTTCTACACCAAAGAATGTTGTGAACTGAAGTGGAAGGTGGCATATAATGATATATAATCATAGTGGACAGTGACACACACTGCAATAAAGGGGGAGAAAATAAAAGAACAAGGCTAAATAGACGAGAAGACGGCGCTCGGCGGCCTATAAAAACGCAAACTCCGCCGACCTTCGACCCGGAGCCCCTTCCCCCTCGGCTGCCATTTTGCATGAGGTTCCTCTGCCCCTTCACTATTGCGGGTTTTTCGACACATTTCACGACACCTCTCTCTCATTTTTCTTACTTATCGATACTGATACGCATGTAGCTATCCAAAATTGTTACTATTAATGATAAATAACGATAAGTAATAAATAACGCTAAATGTGATTGAGTATTCTTCGTCCACCAAGATCTCAAGCCACAAATAAAAACCTGCTTATATTTTATCTTATATCCGGTAACCATTCATAAAAGTTCAAATACGATGTTCACATGTGGAAGATTAGTCACTCTATGTTGGCCCAAAGAAAATAAACTAAATTCTTACCATTATAAAGACGATTATAGAAACACTTGATCAGAAATCTCCTTCATTTTCTATTGTCAACAAACGGTTTGGGCGATGGGGCTACGAGCGCAACAGTATTAGTATGCGTGTAAGAGTTGGATATGATTTATAAAAACAAAGATGGAAAATATGCTTGTTTCTTTACTGTGTAGTATTCTCTCGATTTTCTTATTACGAGAAGTGTAGTAGTTAACTCATATACAAAGTTTTACTTAGGCTTGCATTTGATGTAATTTTCTTGAATGACTGGAACTATAGTACAGAATCAAGAAATTTTCATAACATTGCTAAATACAAGATACTGTAGACTTGAATAATCGTCTATTCCTATAATCATATATGATATTATGTCATACAATACACTGAAAAGGCTTTAGGCATGTGCACACGAGGGTTCAAATGCCGCGTCTCCCGGGATGTTTATATCGTAGAGAAATATAATCTAAACAAATAAGAAAGTTTATTTTAGCTACAACTCCCATCACGTACACTACCATGGTGCACGAAGTAGACACGCACACATATATATATATATATATATATATATATATATATATATATATATATATATATATATATATATATATATATATATATATATATGTATATGTATATATATATATATATTTATATTCATATGTGTGTGTGTACGTCATTGTTATCAATATTGTTAATAACATTATCATGACCAATATCTTTTATCAATATCATCATTGTTGCTATTACTATTGTCAACACTAGCATTATTGTTATTATACAACATAATTGTTATCATTATTATTATTGTTATTATCATCATCATCATCATCAGTATTTTCATTATTATTACTATCGTTATCATTATCGTCACCATTATCATTGCTATTATTATTATTATTATTGTTTTGACTATGATGATTGTTTTCACCATTATTATTAATATCATTATTATCATTATTATTATTGTTATTATTATTATTATTATTATTATTATTATTATTATTATTATTATTATTATTATTATTATTAT